GAAATACATTCAAAAAGTCTGAGTGTGAATTGATTCAATCTTTGCAGGTTAGTCTAACCTGGCTAGGTTAAATCACTTGGTAATTGTCCAGACATCCCAAAAATGCAGGCACATGTATGCAGTGGCTCAGGATAGAAGCCAGGCAGTGCTAGAGCAGCCCTCCCTTCCCTTCAACAGTACTGAACTGAGGGGGGCATAGCCAGGCCCTGGCAGGATGCTCTGATTAGGGAGGGGTTCCCCCCCACTTCTGACCAGACCAGCAGGGAATTGATAACACAGTGTTTATCACCCCTAACACAGTGTTTATCACCCCATTAAGATAACAACAGAGGGATATTACCAGCTACCTGTTGATTCTGCATTTTTCCCATCTGCCAGAGCATGGACTGTAGCCAGCATGTGGTCTGCTAGCTAACACTGAGAGGTGTCTGTGTAAGGCAGAGGGGACAGGGCAATCCCTGCTTAGCAGGGAGTGGGGACAGGAGGAGGGGAGCAGGGGGAAGCCAGGCAGACACCTTCAGTCTCTACCAGAACTCTGGCCAGGGAGCAGAGGGGAGGGGCCAGCTCTCCTGTGGAGCAGAGAGCCCCACCCAGACCAGTGAGCATGAGGAGATGCTGGGGGTGTCTGGTTTAACTTAAACCAGCAAGGGGTCTGGGACAGACATTGCATAAACCGGTTTGACCCAAATCAGTTGAGTCTGATACTAAGTTCAGCCAAGTTTATCTCAAACTGGTTTCAGCCATTTTCAAACTGGTTTACATGCACTGAACATCTGTTCTGTTACAGGTTTAAACCAGTTTCTGATCACTTAAACCAGTTTATGTGGAATGTCTGTCCCTAGCTCTGGTGCTTGCAAATTCTTGCAAAGGAATATAATCTATTACTACTTTTGCTTTTTTTTTTTTTTTTTTTTCAAATCATGGTTGTGGCTTTGGAGTTCTATCAGATTTTTTATGGTCTTTAACCTTTCTGCCTCAGGTCTCTTTTCCTACTGTACTTTGGATTTTCTATCACAGTAGGGACCACTTTTTGGCAGGTGTGCCACAAATTAGCCCTGCACCCTCCCCCAGGGCCACTCAGATCTTCCTCTGTCTGATCTGTCCTGTGCTCCCAATCAAATCTGATGCTTTGCTTTCTGCCCTGCTTTCTGCCTTATCTGCTGCTATGCTGCTTGGCCCTTCCTGATCTGCCATGTACCATATACAGAAGCTGTCCACTGTCACTTCTGTTGTATCATTTCCGCTGTGTCAGAGAACTGTCCATCATAAGGTGCAGTCTACTTCCTTCCGTGGCAAATTCTAATTGCTTTGCTAAGGGTTCACTCTGGGTCTCTAGTAATCTCAGCCAGACTGCAGTGATGCATCTAAATTTACTTACCTGGAAAAACTAGGCAATATTCTGGGGAGGCAATTGGGTACTACAGTGATTGGAGCCACAGAGGAACCAGGACAGATAACTAGATCAGTAATATCAGGTTCTATACACGAGTAAGGCTTTTCAGGGTATAAACAATTATTCATACATGATTTATATGCTTGGGACACTAAATATTTTAGAAGAGAATGTGGTTGGAGAAATTCTCCTGTGTGATCTTCAGTAAACCACTTGCACTCCCTTGTTTTCCAATCTGCAAAGTGAGGTTTATGAGACATATGCACAGTTATAAAATGCTTTGGGATCTCTGTATACCATCACTAGATAAATATTAAGTATATTCCATCTTCATGACAGCATTACTAGATAACTGTACCACTCAAAACCTGTTTTTTTCATGAGAGTTGACTTCACCATTTATTTGGTAGTTTTATACCTTGAACACACTCTGTACAGTTCACATTTGTAATGTGCGAGGATTTTATTTTTGAAACATCCCAAACTCCTAAAGTTGGACACCTGTACTCTGTGCTAGCACTTTCTACAGTTGCTTCATTCTAGACCAATAAGAACCTCAGGAAGCTGTGGGAGGAGAGAGATAATGAATTTTAGCTTGTTGCCTAAGGGTAGAGCGATCTTTTTCGCTGTGTAAAGGAAATACAGTGAAGATTTTTATTTGCTGTCTTTTTTTTCCGCACTGTGGTTTAAAATAAAAGAGAAAAATGAAGGTGTACAAAATTATACTTCCTCTTCTACTACTGCTCTCAGGTAAGTGAACTTTTCCCTTTTCATTTGCTTTTTGTCAGCTACAAATTTCTGTCACTTAAAGTTGTCTAATGTATTGTTACAAGTGTACTTCACATATTACACTTCCATCAACATGCAGCTGATCACTTAACAGGATGTCAAAGTATAAAGATATTTTGCAAAACTAATTTCTATGGCACCTCTAGGAACAAACCTTCAAAAATGAATGTGGTCATTTTCTATAAAAAGAAATCTCTTAGAAATATGAAAGTCACACCCCACCCAAAAGTGAGGTGTCATTTTGCAAACTTACCCATTTTATTTTCACTCTTGTGAGACAAAAATAAACATTACATTCTCAGAAAATTTTAATTTTATACTGTGATCCAGTGACCAATTTCAATATTTCAGTGGATTTTTTACCCTTGTTAAATGGAGTTATAATAATAACTCTAAGGCACATAAATGCTGCATCAACTCAATACTTCTGGAAAAAAGAGTGTGAAAACAGCTCATGTATTGAGTGAGGAGTCAATCAGACCATTTACCTTATGTGTTTGGATGATGCTGTCTAATTTTTTTCATCTGTCTGTCTAAGAATCTTTGTTGAAACAGTTTTGCCCCCAAAACCATTTCAGGATACTTATTTTACTGTGTGAAACAACCTGAGACTTCAGTGACTTGACTTGGTGGCCAAAGCTGGTTGCATTTGGTTTATGTTTTTTATGTCAGGATGTAAATATTTCAAGAAGCACCTGCTTATTTTTGCAGTCCTGCAGTGATGAATGTGGCATATATGCCTTATTTCTTAATTATGCCATTTGCAAAATGCGGCAAGGATGTTTGGTTAACATTATAAGAAGCCTTGAGTTCTAGCTAATCTGCTACAGCTTTCTGAGGAGTTTCTGTAGCAGTGATGACTATACTATGTTGGTAGATCTACAGGTGAAAAGACTACTACACAATGCAAACGATTACTTTTTTATGGGAAATACTTTCTAGTCTTTGCCTAGCTTTAGAAATGACATTCACCAAAATAGAAACTCTGCATAGGTGCTAGATAAAATCCACCACACACTGCTTGTCTTGCTGCTTAATTTACTGCCAGCTTGTAATGCATCTTATAATATAGTGTACATATATTTCAAAGAGATATTGCCATGAGTAAGCTGTGCTAAAAATACAACATAACTGTGCATAGCTTTTCAGATCAATGGTACGACAATATGCAACACCATTTTATTACAGTTAAGTGCATCTGAAATTATATCCAACAAGAGCATTAAGGTTACAAAGGCAAGCATGCAAAAATTAGCAAATCCCAGAACTGAGACTGCTCTGAGGTTCCCTTATGCAATCTTTATAGATTCATAGATGTTTAGGTCGGGAGGGACCTTAGCAGATCATCATTTAATTATATGATCACACATAGTTTTTCCTCCCGAGAAGCAGTTTGATATTCCTTCTTATTTTCTTCAGGTAATGTGTTACCATCACTCTCATTTAACCTGCACTATTCAATCCTTGCAGCAGATACAGACTGATTTTTTTCATGGTTTTTTTTTAGGGCAATCATCACCACAGTGCTTTTCAGATAAGGGGTTTATATTACCAATTCTGTTTTGGAAAAAAAATGTGGAATTATTATACCCATTTTACAGGCCGGCTACTTAAGCAGAAAGGGTCAGATCCATATCTGTACACTAGGTGCCCAACAGAACAATAGACTACCTTAGGTTTCTAAAATGATTCTGCTCAACTTTGCTCTAGCAGCCATAAAGCCACTTATACCTCTGTATTTTGACTGCAAAGATCCCTAGTCACCTAACTTGGGCTTCTGCCCATGTCCAGAAGCAATCCAGTCTGTGGCAAAGCTCTTAATTCCTCACTGCTCTGCTGCAACCCAAAATAGCAATGGGGAAATGCATAAGCTCTGCTTTTGCCCCAAAGGGCCTGATTCAGCATACACACTCAGCACACCTGGCTCACATCATCAGCACTGATCTCAGTACAAAGCAGAAGCAGCATGTCTCCATCTACCTCTGCCTAGCAGCATATAGGTCAGAGCACTCATCCAGAAAGTGGGAAATCTGGCTAAAGGGGATTAAGTTGCACTTCCCCTTGCCCAATGCTCTCCCCTCCAGCCTATTGACCAAGCAGGGGAGGGGCAGAATTTCAACCCTCTTGTTGAAGGTGGGTAACTGTGCAGCCACAAATACAAGGATCATGTGACCCAAAGGAAAATGAGCAGCAGGCCATCTAGTGATGAGGGCACTCAGCTGGTAGAGCCTTGGTGCAAGGACAAGTCCTAATTGTTATCCAATGATTGACTAATTGCATAAATGATCCTATATACTCCACCTGCTTCTTATCTGCTCAGTTTCTGTCCCGTCCTTCCTACATCTCCTGTCCCTCTGCTACTTCTCATCTCTGGTTTCTGCAACCTTAGCACCCCCACAGCCTCAACTCCACTTTATTCCAGTCAAGCCTGCTCCTCCTTTTCCACATCCCTTGAACAAGGGCAGAAACAGTAGTACCACATCTATGTTTTCACTAGGAGAAGAAATGTGTTCTTAACTTCCATTATCTAACCTGAGATGCATCCTAGTGAACAAAAGGCAATTTGTAATCTTCATGAGTTAGCAAAGACTATGAAACACCCCAGAACTCCACCCAATAACCACCCATTTTATTCTGATTGGTTGGGTCTAAATGTAGCAGAAGGTATCAGAATTGTGAACAGCATTTTTGTGGAAAAACAGCTTTTATTTTAAATAAAAGGTTTTGCAACACTGTATGTCCTAACAATGGTGGGACCTGGTATCACCTGAGGCAGTTGGAGAGATACTTGCCCAACTGCTAGCAGATGAGGAACTGCCTATGAAGCTGGGATGTGCTTGAAAAAATTATAAAAAAGAGAGTCATGAAGGCTGTGGTGGGATGGGAACAGGTGGTGCCACCAACAGAATGATGCACTTTTAAAATCAGCTACTTTGTGGAAGATGGGAAATACGCATATAATTTAAAAGATACTAAGGCTGAATCTGGCAATTATAAATCAGTGATCACTGATAAAAAATGATTGGAAAGATCACTCAAAATGTAAAGCACAAAGGTGAGCAAGATAAAATAAAGACTTTCAGTGTTACGGAAGAAACCAGACAAGGTTATTTGGGTAGATGTGATATCTTTTATTAGACTAAATAAACAGTTGGAAAAAATGTTCTTTTCAAGCTTTTTGGCACAAATATCCTTCTTCAGGCATAGAGAGAGTCTACTGGTGAACTGCCAGTCTTTTACTCTCAATAAAAGCAACCTATCATCTTTCCTTGTCAGCCTATTACTTCTGGGCTTTTTTTTCCTTCTTAAATCCAATGTTTCTCAATAATAGTAGCAGAGTTAATTGAACAGGACTGGGCAGCCCAAAGCCTCCTGGCCTTTAAAAGGTAAGGGCAGTCTGTTTTGATCCTACTTAGGTATGCTCCATCCCAGCGCTGCAGGGATGAGAAGGATTTACCCAGCAGTTGTTCCTCTTGTCCACTAGGATCTGCAATATGGTGTCAGAACAAAGAGCAGATAGACTCTCTCTCCTATGTTCTCAGAATTTCTTGCTGATATTCACACAGCATGGAAGAGAAAGATAATGCTGCCTGAATTATATCCAACAGATGAGGGAAAGA